TTACAACCTATGGATCTGTAGCCCCGAGTTTTAACTTTCCCCGAGTTTTAACTTTAATTTGGCGTTGGTTTCATCCAAATCAGAGTCACAGATAAAAAGTTATGACTAAAATACCACAGTCTGTCCAGTTTAATGCATATACATGAGGTCTTAACTTAGTCTTTGCTTGAGTCTAGTCAGATAGTCTAGCCACATGGTCATGACACGAGTCTTGACATGTCACCTACACTCACTAGTCTTAGAACACACTTTGAGTACACATCACCACGACCATGTCTTAGGTTCACGTATGGGTCGGTCTTTTCCGTCATTTAAGTTGGGGGTATATTCTATTCCTAATTCTTCATATCCCTCCACCTCCATCATTCTTCTTCACATTCTATTCCATTTTTCTTCACTTCCTCCATCCATTGCATGTCGAATAAAGCTTGAGTCAAATAATTAACAATGAATATTCCCAAATTCCTTTTCCACAGTACTTGGTCGAGAAGAGAAGGGCGATTAATCAAGGACAACACCTTTGTTCAAGTCTTACTTTTTGATAAACTGATTCGTCAAAAGAGGAAGGCTAAGAATATAATGGAAACTCAAGAAGAAGTCAATGATCTTAAGAACCAACTGGTTACCGTGACTGAGACACTGAAGCTACTCACACTCAAGATCGATGATCCCGTGAAGCAACAACAAATGAACCTCATGTAAGAAAGTTTGAGCAAGCTATCTAGTGACTATAAATTTCAGGGCATGAGCTCACAAGGGGTCTTGCTGGACAAGGAACTTCTTCCACATAAGTTCAACGCCACTGACATCCCTAAATTCAAGGCAACTGATAAGCCTTATTTTCATTTAAGATCTTTCGAAACCATAATGAGTATTAAGGGTATCGATAAGAAGGTTTTCCCCTCTCTTTTCCCACTATCTCTTGAAACCGTTTGCAAACAATGGTTCTTCTCCCTTGACAAGGAGAAAACCTCTACCTGGGAATCGATAGTAAATGCTTTCGTTGATAGGTACAAGTGCAATATCCAAGTTGAAACCGACCATAGACAACTTGAGATGCTAAGACAAAAAGAGAATGAAGGCTTTACTTCTTTCTTCAATAAATGGAGGGAAACTTCCGCCAAGATGATTGAGGTCCCCACCGAAAAGGAGTCTGTGAGGATGTTTATCAAGAATCTCCAAGAAAAATATTCGAAGCACTTAAAATATCAACACAACTTGAATACTTTCAAGGCCATTTATGACATCGGGATTGAAATCGAAGACGACCTCACAAAGCAAAAAGCTACTAACAATAGTAACCACGGTGGATGGAAAGGAAAGAAGAGCGACAATCCTTCTTCTTCCGAAAACGCCCACTCTAGTAATAATGTTAGTACCTTTGACCATAATGGTGTCTTAGCCATGGACAATCAAGGATCTAAAAGGAAACCCAGGCGAGAGTTCACACCCATTGGAATGACCTACGATGCTGCTTTCGATCATCTCTATGATCGAGGATTAATCAAACCTATTGGCCCTACCGAGGATCCAACACCAGAAAATCGATTTTCGAGATGGAATCCAAACTCTTATTGCAAGTACCATCGAGGGCGCGGTCATACTACTGATGAATGCTACAGGTTTCAAAACCTCATTCAAGATCTCATAGAGGCAAATAAGATCCCATTGCCTCTAGCTAGCGAGAAGACTGGGTGATGATGAAGCGAACAACACAAGACAAGAGGCGAGCTTCAACGACAAGATTTCATGACCTCTTTTTCTATTTCTTTTTCATTTTTTCCTTTCCTCAAAAAGTCTAGCATAGGCACCTTTTCTTTTCCTTTAGATTAATTTTGTAGTCTTTTTTCCTTTTCCCCCTTTTAATAAAATGAGCATTTATTTTCTTATATATGATCATTTCATTACATTGCATTAAAAAAAAATCCATATCGAATTAAGCACAAGGTATACCAATGATTTGAGGCACCCCTTGTAGCCACATCATATATCCTTTCACCATTCAAATATACAATCCTTTCTTCATAAGCCACTTTGAGCCTCGTCTAACGATAGACCTTTCTTTTTTCAACCTACATCTACCTAACCTTGGGATGGGATGGTGTGTAACTCATGCAATTCTAAAAAGGCTTGAGTGAATTCAAAAGATTAAAATAGAAAAAATAAGAAAAAATAAATAAAAGTGTAAGAAAGGGCAAGTGTTCCAATGTCTTTGATATGAAAATATCTTTGATAAGAACACGTCTTAGATTGCGTCTCTTATCGAGTGCTCTGTATCGTGCCTGAGAAACATGAATGCCGAGTGAGTGATAGACCGCATGATCGGGATTGCCCACACTTATGAAAATAAAATAAATGATAAAGCAAAAAGAGCTAAAAAAGAGTAGAAACTCAAGCATAAAAATATAAAGATTCAAAAGCAAGGTTGCACACCTTGGGGGCTAATCTAGGGTCTTGAGCCTTTATCCCCTTCTTCTTCAAACCTTTAGCCTAACCACGTTACAACCCTTAAAAGTCCTTTTTGAGGTATACACACTTGTGCGAGGTTCGGCTAGAGCTACGTTCGGCCTGATTCCTAACGGATACGTAGGCAACCTCATATCGAGGTGCGGCCGTAATAAACATGCATTCATATTCACATTCACACACATACACCATGATCATATCAAGGCATCTCCAATGCTCATCCCTATTCATTTAGAGCTAGACTTGGGGGCTTGATCCTTATATTATTAGCCTATCCAGCCTAAGAATCACCACAATTTGACTCTTTTCAATATGTATTTTTCCACACACTTTGCTCTTGCGGCCTAACTTTAGTGTCACTTTCACACACTGCACAGATACATGGCCAAATATACTTCCCTTAGGAACCCTTTGTCATGAAGTCTTAACACAACGCTGATGCATGCCTTGTCATATCGACATCACTCATCAATCATAATCGTTATTGCATCACGAAGTATAAAGTGCTTAGCCTCCGTGCTTAAGTTAACTTCATCATTGAGTCAACCATTGAGATAGCCTAGGATGGATTAATCCTTGCACCTTGAGAGATAGTATCAAACAACATTTGACTAAGCACATTCAACATGCACCTTCAACACTTCGCTTCTTTCTTTTTCGCGTCTTTCTTTTTCGGGAGAAAGTCGGTACCCTCCACAAAAATGACGGAAATTTTTTGCTTTTTTGCATTTTCGAGTCACATAATCAACACTATGCACACACGGGTCATGAGTCACACGTGTCATTTCACTTCGAGTCGAGTCAACCTCGAGTCAGTCAATCACAGCGAGTCAAGTTTATACCTTGAGTCGTGTCGAGTCAATGAGTCAAGCAATGCTAAACTTTAGGTCAACCCTAAGATAATTAAAAAGATTGGCAAAGTTCTATAGTCAAAATAAATACAGGTGCAGTAGAATAGGGAGGACCCTACTCTAATTCCTGGCGCCAGATATATCTCAGCAACGACAGAGCTCGAAACCTCTCAAAAAGGTGATTTCGACCTCATGCAGCAATTTCGGGTTCCTTGGTACGCCAGTTAGCCCCTATAAGCAATTTGACATGATTAAGTAGTCGGTTTGATTACAGTCTAAGTGATCGACCTGACGAAAGATCGTCTCACTTAGCTTAAGCACCTAAAACACTGGCTCATTACAATCGGTTTAAAAGCAAGCACTTAAACGACAATTTTTCCAAAATTGGATTGTCATCCCCAACTGACAATATTTCCAAAAATGGATTGTCGTGCTCCTTCTTTGTTTGTCAAGTTTTTTCAAGTTCGGATTGTCATACATTCATCGGCTCGTTGGCAAGTTTTCCGAGATTGGATTGTCATACACCCAGTTCCCTATGGCAAAATTTCCCAAAGGATTGTTGTAGGACTCTATTCATCATAAATTTCGGCAAAGTTCCTCAACGTGGATTGTCATTCATTTTAGTAAATGGCAAATTTTCCCGAAGTGGATTGTCAGTCGACTCTGTTTTGCAAATGTTCCAAGACGCGGATTGTCAATTGTGGCAATATTTTCCTAAAAGAATTTTCGCATAGCATTGGAAAATTTCCAAGGTGGATTGCTTTCAAGAGTTATCTTCCAAGATGTGGATTGTCGATCGTAGCCAAATTCTTATGAAAGATTATTACGAAGCATTGGCAACTTTTCCAAAAATTGGATTTTGGCAAATTTTCCGAGATACGGATTGTCGCTTTATCGTGGAAACATTTCCAAGGATGGATTCTTACGTGGCATTGACAACTTTCCCTAAATCGGATTGTCATACATCATACAAGAGTTGTGTTGGCAACTATTCCCAAATAAAAGAGGATTGCCGACATACTGGTTCACAAGCAGCAAAGCGCCGACGTACTGGCATAGCAGCATTAAAGATTAAAAAGCAGTGATCATTTCGAAGACTATCACAGCGAAAATTGGAGTAATATCAAAAATAAGCTCTTTGTTCAGAGACGCGTGAACACATCAAAAAGAAGCTCTTTGTTCAGAGATGAGTGAACATTGAAACAACAAGGTGACATTCCCTAGATTGTGGAGAGTTGTCACAAACAACTGAGGATTGTTTCAAGAGAAGCAATCTTCGATAGTATTCCCTTGGACGTAGAATATTATCAATGCCGGATGGGGATTGTTTCAAGTGGAACAATCTTCGATGGTATTCCCTTGGACGTGGAATATTATCATAGCGGAGGAGGATCGTTTCAGGCGAAGCAGTCTTCTATATTGGAAGTAGTTACAGGTGTAGCAGTTTTCAAGCGGGATGGCATTCTCTAGTAGGGTTGTGCAAAACTATCCGAAAAACCGAAAACCCGAAAAACCGAACCGTAACCGAACCGAAAAATTGGGTACCCGAACCGTTTAAAGAAAACGGGTCGGGTGACCGAACCGATAAGAATTTAACGGTTCGGGTAACGGGTACCCGTTAACAATGTTCGGGTACCTGAATGTCCCGAAAATATTATTTTTCGAAATCTCAATGAAAAATGTCAGTTTTTTTTAGAAAAAAAGAAACAGAAAATAAAGAACAAAAAAGTGAAAACCCTAAACTTCGTTCTTTTCTCATTTCTCAGCCATTCACTTCACTCAGCCTCCATCCCCCTCTCTCTCCTCCTCTTCTCTAATGTCTCTGCCTCTGGTTCTCTAATCTCCATTCTCTATTCTCCATTCACTCCTTCATCTCCTCCATTGAAGCGGCTCTGAGCTTTCACTCCTTCATCTCCTCCATTGAAGCGGCTCTGAGCTTTCACTCCTTCATCTCCTCCATTGAAGCGGCTCTGAGCTTTCACTCCTTCATCTCCTAATGTCCTCAGGTAATTAACTAATTATCCCTTTGCCAGATCTAATTATTTGCAATGAATTGATTAAATTCAATTAAACTTAAACTCTTGTTTTAATTTCACAGATCGCAGATTCAATTTAGGGCTCTGCGTACTTCGACTTCTCCATTGAAGCGGCTTCTGAGCTATACGCCTATACTCCTTCATCTCCTCCATTGAAGCGTACTTCGACTTCTCCATTGAAGCGGCTCTGAGCTTTCACTCCTTCATCTCCTACATTGAAGGGGCTCTGAGCTTTCACTCCTTCATCTCCTCCATTGAAGCGTACTTCGGCTCTCCATTGAAGCGGCTTTTGAGCTTTCACTGTTGAGGTAATTTACATTTTATAGTATCTGACTATCTGTGGTTTTTTCGGATTTGTAATTGTTTTTTTTTTCCTGATTTTTTATTGTGGTACTATTAATTTTTTTTTTTTGTTTTTTTTTGGGAGGAATGGTACTTATTATGGTTTTCTGAATTGAGGTTTTTTTTATTATTTTTTGTCAAGTTGTGTCTGTTAGATTTAGATGAGTGAGTAAGGTGAGATTTCTGTTTTTGATGTGGAAATAAGGTTGTTGAGAAAAAACAAGGATTCAGAGTGATGTTGTTGTGTGATGTTGCTAAGCATCTATAGTTGCTGTGTACTAATGCTGTTGAGCATCTATAGTGTTGTGTGATGGCTTCCTGTGTGTTGAGCATCTATAGAGTTGTACATGATAATCATGTAGTCCAATATGATTTATTGTAACATGAGTTAATTACAAGCATTTTAAGAAAACGTTTTAAGATTTATTATAGTCCAATATGATAATCATGTAGTCCAATATGATTTATCTAGTTGCTTCTACTCAGGTTAATCTGTCAATGTATGGTTTAACAGAATTGAGTAATATTTGTCAGCTGGAATTTGGTTTAACAGTAACTTGTGTGGCTGTGTACATCATCTTTTGGACTCATTTTCAGTAATACTTGCCTAAGGTACTGCAAGGCTCACAGAGTGATTATATGGTGTAGTTGTACCAATAGTTTTTTTTATTTCACTTGCTTGTCTGAGATTTTATGATTGTGTATTTGTGTGACGTGGAAAAGTTTTTGTCCTGTTTGTTTCTAATAGACATATATCCTAGATATTCACCCTTTCAACCCTCATATAGCTATGACTCATTCTTGTTATTTGTGTATACATGATTGAACTTATTTGTTTTTTTTTTTCATTTGTAGGAGTGTATGGAATCTGGAAGTAGTGGGGATATGGAAGACTCATCGGCTACAAGTCAAGCTCCTCCAATTCCAAGTCCTCCTCCCGAGCCTTGGGAGTATGACCCTTGTCCAATGACGGAAAATAATGACCCCTTTGACCAGCAAAATCAATCAAACCAACCTTCTGAACCTGATGATGCTGCTGCCCCCTTAAGTGAAACTTCAAAAAAATCTAGAAAAAGGCGCTCTCCTCATTGGGAGCATTTTATAAAGAAGGATGGAGAAAACAAGGCTGAATGTATCTATTGTCATACATTCATTGGTTGTGCATCACTTCAAGGTACCTCCGGCATGAAGAACCACATAAATTGGTGTAAGGAATACCCCCCAAACATTGATCAAAATCAGCAACTATTGTCCCTTAGTCAACAAACTCTTGATGGGAATCTCGTGGATAAAAAAAAAGGTAGACTTGAGCTGTGGAAATTCAATCAAGAAGATAGTAGGAGAGCTCTGGCAAAGATGGTGATCATGGATGAAATGTCTTTTAGAATGGTGGAGCATGAAGGTTTTCGCAGCTTTATGAAGGTAACGCAACCCTTTTTCATTATTCCTTCTCGATGGACAGTGACTAGAGATTGTTTTAGGATTTATTTGGATGAGAAAAAAAGTTTGAAAAGTTTTTTTTAGTAAGTGCACTTCACGTATAAGTCTCACCACTAATACTTGGACTTCTTTCCAAAATATGAATTACATGTGTTTAACCGCTCACTTTATTGACCAAAATTGGAAATTGCATAAAAAAATAATTAACTTTTGTATAATTGCTGGTCATTCTGGTGAAACAATTGGTAAATCTGTCCAAAAGTGTCTACTTGAATGGGGTATTTCTAGAGTAATGACTGTCACTGTAGATAATGCAAGTTTCAAATGATGTTGGCATTCAATATTTGAAAAGAAGGTTTGAAAGTTGGAAGACATTAGTTTTGAGTGGTCGGTTTTTACACATGAGATGTTGTGCTCACATATTAAGTTTAACCGTTAAAGAAGGATTGAAAGAAAGTGATGTGTCAATAAAAAGAATTCGTTGTGCTGTTAGGTATGTAAGATCATCGGGTGCTAGATTGCAAAAGTTCATGAGTTGTGTTAAACAAGAAAAGTTGGAGTCAAAACGTTTTCTTTGTTTAGATGTGGATACTAGGTGGAATTCCACTTTTTTAATGCTGGAAGGTGCTTTGGCATATCGTAGGGCTTTTGATTTTCTTGAATGTTCAGATGGTGGTAAATTTAGGTATGAGTTACTTAAGACAGGCGGGGTGCCTGAACCTAGTGATTGGGATCGTGTTGCCTCTTTTCTTCCTTTACTTAAAATATTCTATGATGCTACTCTACGAGTTTTCGGCTCGTTGTATATCACCTCTAATGTGTATTTACAAGAACTTGTTGGGATTAGTGTGTTAATCAAGAAAAAAATGTTGAGTAATGATGCGGGGGTGAGTTTAATGGCTAGTGGAATGAAGAAAAAGCATGACAAGTATTGGGAAAATGTTGATAATGTGAATCTCTTGTTGTATATTGCTGTCATTCTTGATCCTAGGCGGAAAATGGGATATACTAAATGGGCAATTAATCAACAATATGATTCTGAAAAAGCTAAGTACTTGTGTGATAAAGTGATGCAAACTCTGAATGACATGTATGAACTTTATATTTCTGAAAACCCTCCAAATGAGTCTATTCTCCCTAAAACTTCTGATTTTTCGGAGGAAGTAGAAGATATGGATTCTGATGTAGATGTTGCGGAATTAGAGTTTGAAAGGCAGGTGGGTTCATGTGTTGGAGTACAAGGGAAAAATGAGTTGGCCAAGTATTTAGAAGATGATAGAGAAGTTAATCCCGCCGGAAAAAGCTTTGATTGTTTGGGGTGGTGGAAAAAATATGGTGAAAGGTATCCAACAATAGCTCTCATGGCTAGAGATGTACTTTCCATTCCCGTATCAACAGTCGCTTCCGAATCAGCTTTTAGCACCGGTGGTCGAGTGCTTGATTCATTTCGCAGCTCACTCTCAACTAAGATGGTTGAAGCCTTGATTTGTGCACAAGATTGGTTACGTACATCTCAAGGTCCTCTTATACTTGAGGAGAGACTTGAAGATATGGAAAAAATTGAATCATGTAACATTTAAATATTTTCTCTTTTTTTTTAATCTCATTATCTTGTTAATTATTCATTAACTTTTTTTTAATTTTTTTTTTTGAAGAAATGTTACCTCTTGGTGAGGAACACTCTCTCTTTGTTGATGATGATTAATTGATTAGAGGCAGCAACTTATAATCATGAAGGTTGGTGGTGATTGTATTGAAGGCCGGAAGTCATTGAAGGCTTGGAGTTTTTTATGAAATATGATTACTATGGACTGTTTTTGTTTTAAAACTATAAACTATGGACTTTTTTTTTTGTTATGTATTGGTTTATTATTGTTAACTATGGACTTTTTTTTTTAAAGAAACAGTATGTTTGTATCAAGTATTTGTTCATTTGTAATCGGGTTGAGTGCTGTGTTATATGTGTATTCAGGTTTAAATATCAGCCTATTAGGCTGTTATTTGTTACAAAAAAAATCATAGTACTAATAACAATAATTAATACTAGAAAACAAGTGGAAGTTTGGACAAAAATATTATTACGCAGGTGGGTACAAGGAGGAGTTCAGGCAGCTAAGTAGGAGAGGTGAGGAGGCAGCAGCCTCAAGGACAGGGACTGGTAGGTTTCCAAAGCGGAAGACATCGATAGTTGTAATTATTTTTGTTATTTGTGTATTTAAGTTCAATTGTTATAGTTCAAAAAATAGGAAGTAAAAAAAAACTAGTAAAAACTAAAAAGCATCTAAAAACGAATTGCAAAGCAGGTTTTAAATAAATAAAGAGACCCAAAAAAAAAATCAGCTTATTGGTTCGGTTCAGATATTTGGTTCGGGTACCCGTATTTTCGGGTATTCGAATTTACGGGTACCCGAACCTTATCGGAACGGTTTCGGGAATCGGTTTTAGCCTTAACGGTTATCGGGTACCCGAACCAATAACGTTATCGGAACGGGTACCCGTCCCATGCTCTCCCCTATTCTCTAGCTTGCAGGAGGTCATCAAAATAATGGTAAATCAGCGGCAAATCGGTTACTTCTAGAGACGTGTGCTCGACGGTGCAAGATACGCGTTTCTTAACTCTTTTATCTGTTTAACTAAAGCTAGTTTTGCAGGTATCGACGTTACAAGATTGATTTAGGATCGCAAAATGTTCTGAATCATTCTCCGTCCCTATCGATACTTTGACTTTTGTTTTCGAAACTCGCGTTTCTCCAAACTCAGTCAAAGTGGGGGCTTCTGTAGACACCCAAATGTGTCTTCCCCAAAACCAAACCCAGTGATGAGTACCTTTCACGTTGAATTATAATCGAATGAAGCGAAAGTGTGGAAAGTCTAATGTTGCGGATAGTTTTAATTTCTTTTCTCTTCTCTCTGTTTTCGAAAACTTATTTTTAAGAAAAAAACCAATCCAGTTTGATTGGTCCATGATATGGGTCCAATAGTAGTGTAGTTGGATGAGGCTTGACAAGAGCTTTCCAACGATATATTATAAGCCCAATTCCGATGAATATTGATGAAGTTATGACCACTAAACTGGGCCCAATTTGAGCCTTATATGCGGCCTAATGATCTAGGGGAGGGCCTAATATGATTTATCATTCCTAATGCAATTAGGAATGGTTTTAGTCTTCTAGATTCTTCTAGAAGATTCTTTTCATTCCTAATTCAATTAGCATTGATAAATTGACTTTTGAGACTTTTCAGAGTTTTAATTAAAATTAAAAAGCATTTTCGAGGAAAAGATACGATTTTATCCTCGAGTACGGCAAAACTTATCTGATTTTCGAAAACGCGTAAAAAACAGGCCTTGCGCCTGACTCCAGGCATTGGCGCCTGGAACCAGGCTTAGCGCCTGGCGCCAGCCATTGGCGCCTGGTGCTAGCCATTGGCGCCTGGCGCCAATAAGCTGGTGCTGGCGCCAGCTCTGTTTTACGTGCGCCAATCTCGTTTTGTGTGCGCCAAGTGCTCTGTTTTGTAATTTTATCTTTTGGCTGATTTTTTCTATAAATAACGTATTAAAAACTCCGTTTTCATTCACCAATTCTCGCGAATTCTCATCAACAACCAGCTGTTCAATCTACATTCACCTACTATTAGTTTTCATTCGCAATTATTCATTAATCCTCTCATTCTCTTCTCATTCATCAATTCTTTATCTTTCTCTTATCTAAACTAGTCTTTTGCATACAAACTTCCGCATTCATTAGATCTAGAAACACCTAGCCATATTCGAAGTTGCCTTCGCCCTAGACGTGAAAGGTTTAATTTCTGAGGGTTTGGTCCCAAATCTCTCTTTCACTTATTTAATTAATTGTTTTGATTATTATTTTCCTTGAAGTTACTAACGTGTGTATTTTGTTATTAGAAAGAGGTACGAGGCATCAAAGTAAGTACTTTAATTGATTTTTTGATGTTATGACGTAGAGATCATGTTTGTATTGTTATTATGATATTCCTAGTATCATGTCTAGGGTAATTTTAATATTAAATATGATTCCTGCGATGCTTCCTATGTTCTTCCTAATATTTATGATTGTTAGTATCATGTTAGGGTTAAAGATTTGCTTTTTATTGCTTAGTGACATGCTAGGATTTGTTATTAATCTTGTTAGTATCATGCCTAGGATCTTGCTATTTTTATTATGCTTTAACATGATTTATGATTATTTTTATATTTGTTTTGATTATGATTATAATTTTATAATTATAATTATTATGACTAACATGATTATTATTATGGTTAATATGATTGTTATTATGATGATTATTTTATTGTTATAATTTTATGATCATGATTATATTTATTATTGATTATTATTATGTTGCCTGATATTTATTGTTATTGCTTAATCACACCTTTTTATTACATGTTTAAAGGGAATTGGTACTTGTAATCACGCTTAATAAGATATTTAATAATCTTGTTTAGGGTTAATTGTGATTATAATTCAAGTGATCGCCAATAATAGTTTATTTGTGTATTAAATTCAACCAACATAGATTAAACAAGTTTAGGGTTAATCCTATTGATTGCATGTTAGTCAAAAAGCGCACATGAATACGATCAGAATAAAGTAGAGGCCTATTATTAGGGCAGGTTCAATCTCTTTTAGGTTGGATTTGTATCTTCATCCCCGAACCCTATTTGGTTCAAGACCTTATGGAGTTGGCGATCTCTTGGATCGTTAAGGGGTGTAACCTTCATCCTATGAACGGTTTACAAGTTCCTTAAAAAACTTGTTGGCGACTCTTTTTGCTCTATCTTCTTTCCCTTTGGACGCTACCGTACTTTAGTGTATGGTCACAGTGGGGTTCGAGCTAAGGGTTAATGCTTGAAATTTATTCCCTACAATTCCTCATCTTCGAGATTATGCTCTGCTGCTTTGAAGTTGGATATGAACAAAGCATATGATAGGGTTAATTGGG